GGAAGTCGTGACTCTATTGTTGCAGCCTTTCTGCGCGGCTTTGCCTTTGCATTGGCTCAGCTCGAAGTTCTGAATCACTGTCACCAACAAACAAACCCCAAGACATGAACAACAAAACATCAAACGCCGCAGAACGATTAGTCTTCCTGCCACCGGGCTGCCAGGAGCGAAAAGCTGCGCTTTTTCAACGCGCCTTTTCACAAAACCGAACAACACAACCTCCCAAACCGGCGGTTGCCACGTCTTCCTCACAGCGCCCTGATTTCTGACCCGCTACACCGCAGAAGAATGCGTTCGTCCACAATAAACCCACTCAGAAAGCCCGGGCCACCGCGCAAGAGTGCGCCGTTATGTTAATTTGATGAGGGCTTTGGTTCCGACGCTCCTCTCCGCGCTGAAAGAGCTCACTGTTGGGAACGGTCAGCAGAAGGGGGCTTTGAGAAACACTGCGCGCTCTATTAGCTCGGACAGGGGTTCCCTGCAGCCCGCCAGATCTTCCGAGGGGCCCGCAGGGGCCAAAACGAGGCCAGAGCCGCTGTGAACTGAAACAATTAGAGCTCATCTGTTGTTTGAAGTGAATCTAAGGGAGTTAATGAGAAGATTTTATGCGTTCATTTAGCGTTTGATGCTCCAGCTATGCAGAATGGATTTCTCCGCATCCAGATTTGCATATTATGCATCCTAAATAGCCTGCAAGATCAGGATTAGCGCATCGGGCTCACGGTTCGACTGGTTAGTAGTTGCCCCTGCTGATAGAGATTGTAACTACACCACATGGAAGAAACATATTAACAAAAAATTGGTGTTAATGAACACCCTTGATGCATCCCAAATCCCAAAAATTTTCCTGTAGCATATCTTTTTTTTTACTTACATTACCCACAATTCCTTATGAACCTTTTTAATAATAATAATAATAATAATAATCATATAAAAAGATGCAAATCGCGCAATACCAAAGTTGCAATAGATGGTTATAAATGTATTAAAGTAAACGTTAAATTAATTTTAAGGTACTTAATTTTAAAACATTCAGTGTTATTTTGGCATTATTTATATGCTATTATAGTTTTTTTTAAATGAGCTTTTATTTGTATTTATTTAATTTACATTTTTTGTACTTTTGCTATGTGCTTTTGTTATTTATTCCCCTCCTCCTAAATATTTTGAATCTGTCATTTTGGGCGGGGCAGGTCTTAGCAAAATACAGCTAAAACACCCTAAAAAAAAGTGTCGTTTACGATAATAATCACCCTGGATGCATCCAAATACAAACAACACGAAGGAGTCTGTGGCAACAAAACTCCAAAAACAGAATTTTTTCTACAAAACCAGCGGTGTTCAGTAGGACCCCACTGACTTTATTAAATGGACAAAAACACTTATACAGGTAAAATATACAGGTGCATCTCAAAAAATTAACAGGGATGACCGCAAGCTTGAGAATACTGTCAAGCGAAACTGATTCAAACACTTTAGAGAGCTTCACAAGGAGTGGACTGAAGCTGGAGTCAGAGCATCAAGAGTCACCACACTCAGACGTCTTCAGGAAAAGAGCTACCAAGCCACTTCTGAACCAGAAACGTCAGAAGCATCTTACCTGCGCTAAGGAGAAAAAGAACTGGACTGTTGCTCAGTGGTCCAAAGTCCTCTTTTCAGATTAAAGTAAATTTTGCATTTCATTTGGAAATCAAGGTCTGGAGGAAGACTGGAGAGGCACAGAATCCAAGCTGCTTGAAGTCCAGTGTGAAGTTTCTGAAGTCAGAGATGATTTGGGCTGCCGTGACATCTTCTGGTGTTGGTCCATTGTGTTTGATCAAATCCAAAGTCAATGCAGCCGTCTACCAGGAGATTTTGGAGCACTTTATGCTTTCATCTGCTGACAAGCTTTATGGAGATGCTGATTTCCTTTTCCAGCAGGAATTTAGCACCTGCCCACAGTGCCAAAACTACTTTCAAGTGGTTTGCTGACCATGATATGACTGTGCTTGATTGGCCAGCCAACATGCCTGACCTGAAGCCCATATAGAATCTATGGGATGTTTTGAAGAGAAAGATGAGGAACAGTCGATATGAGGAACAGTCGATCTAACAAACCAGACGAGCTGAAGGCTCAGCAGTGCCACAGGCTGATCGCTTCATGCCAAACCTCACTGATGCTGGAGTTTGTGCTAAAGGAGCCCCGACCAAGTGTGCAAGAGTGCAGAAATGAACACACTTTAAAGAACTTGAACTTTTCTGTTTTGCAAATCCTTTTTTTGATTGATCTTAGGAAATATTCTAATATTTTGAGATACTGGATTTTTGACTTTCATGAGCTGTAAGCTCTAATCATCAAAATTTAAAAAAAAAAAACGTTTGAAATGTTTTACTTTACATGTAATGATTCTAGAATAATGAAAGTTTCACTTTTTGAAATAAGTTACACAAAAAATTTACTTTTTCACGATATTAAAATTTTTTGAGATGCACCTGAACTTAATCTTATTTTATGTTACACGTAAGACTGAAAGTCATATCGGTTTGGAACGGCATGAAGGGGAGTAAATCATCATTTTCATTTTTGGGTGAACTATTACTTTAACGACTTCCTGTCCCGCCAGAAAATTCAGCAAAGCAGACCAGACTTTATGACGATAAGTGGGCTCTGCATGACTAGAGTTTATTTGACAGTTAAATCAGCTTATAGAGACGCCAGATCAGACTAATGAAGGTTCCCTCGGTATCCGTCTGTCTCTCTCACACACACCTCAGACAGCGCAGTCCACACACACACACCTCACCTCAGACAGCGCAGTCTGTCTCTCTCACACACACCTCAGACAGCGCAGTCTGTCTCTCACACACCCCTCAGCGCAGTTTGTCTCTCTCACACACACCTCAGACAGCGCAGTCTGTCTCTCTCTCTCTCTCGTTAGCTCTCTGCAGGAGACTCGCAGCACCTGTCAAGTCACAGACACACACAACAATCTGGGTCACTCTGACCGGGCTGAAGAAAAAGCACCATCCTTCACCTGTCCAAAACAATTCAATCTAGTCACTAACATACACTCACGGATCATTCCAGTCCTGCGGAGTCAGCCGAGAAAACATACTCCGTCTGGATGAATTATTTTGCACCTTTCGCTTCCAAAGATGATTGTTTTGCTGTCTGTCTATATGATTATTAATTTTACCTCGCTAAACGTCTTTATGTAAACACGTATACCAATTGCGATGTAAAATCATTCTCTTATTGATATGAACGCTGATATAGGCTAGATGAATGGAATTGCTAACAGACAGCTTTCTTCAGGCATCGCAGACAAATGGTAATAGATTAAAAGAAAGTGTAAAAGTCTTGACTGAAAAGAAAGAGAAAGAACGTATTTGGAATAGCCTACTTCATTTTTGCAGTATGTAGCATGTATGCTGTGCGCACTGTGCAAATATGTATGCCTAGAATACATACATGACCAAAATCTACAGAATACAATACCTGCATACCACAACTTGATTTTACATTTCCATATCTGAACTAATATCAGTCACATGGATAATGACACCTCATTTTACATTACAACATTACAAATAAAATTATTTTGCAAAATGCAATGCAAGATAATTGGACTAAAGTACGTGCCATGTTTCCTATATATAAAAACAAACAAGGACACAGAACCACCTTCCTCTATAGAGAAACTCTGAAACCACAGTATCAAATCTAGGAGGTGCATTGCCTCCTAGTGGCCACAGATGACAACTACACCCTGATCACCAACAAAACATAATGCACTCAGTGCATTTCAGCAAATATAACATTTTTGCATAACATGAATAATTCAAAAACAAGCCAAATGTTTATGCTACAAATGTCATTTTTATTAATTTAAATAATATGCAAATAAAGGGTCTATAATGATCCACAGAAAAGACATGCTTTGTGACTCATTTTTAAAATGTGTATATATATTTATATTTCTATTTGTCCAGCAGAAATCTATCCAGAGTGAAGACTGAAACCTCTGACAACGATAAAGAAGACCTTTACATTCACAAGAGTTGTGTCTGCGTGTGTTTGCCAGAGGACACGGCTGAAGATCTATCCAAAATGGTCAGTGATAAAAGTGTACAGAAACGAGATCCATATTCAAACTTCAAAAATTAAAATGCTTTTTTTTTTTCTTATAAAAACTTCCATTGCAAAAACAAGAACCTGGATACATTTCTACTTTGCAAAATTAACATTTTTACTAATAAAAAAAAAGAAAAGAAAAAGAAAGGAAGACAAAATAGAAGAGCAAAGGAAACACACAAAAGGAGAAAGAAAACAAACCCCAACCTTAATAATCGACTCCCTTTGGTAAAAACTGTAATAAACCATCCTGTCATCGTTTTCCATGTGGTTCCCGCTTTTTTCTTCCTAAACGCCACACTGAAGCACTAAACACAACACACATCTGGCATAAAAAAGGTCTGGTGATATTTACACTGTATTTACAAAACTGTTGAACTATGTGTGTGTGTGTGTGTGTGTGTGATTCACAGGTCATGTTCACTGTAAGCTGGTGTATGGAGCAGATATAAGTGTGTTTTCTGATTCATAACATGCCTTCACACAGGCCTTGGATTTTTATTGCTGTCGCATTTATATATTTTTTGCCTATATTTTTAAGTAAAAACTGAATATTTTCATTCTAATATTACAATGTTAAATTCGCACTTCAGATTTTTTGCTCTCTGAAATGTGGCAGAATAAATCTCTCAAAGTCACGTTAAAGTTAAGTGCACTTATCCCGAAACGTTTTTGTTTTTTGTTTTCGTAAAAAGTCTGATTCAGACTTTTCCGCCACTTTTTCTCGGATCTGCTGCCTGTTTTAACTATCAAAAACCAGCGAACACACTCGACTGGCGTTCAAGAGATGCGCGGAATCCGTTATATGTATCGGATCGGTGGGCTGGTCTACGGAAAGGGCTGTGCTGATTGGTCCAGGCTGGGTTTGACTGACAGGTCTTCAACCCCGTGTTTTTTGGCACTGGGCGACCTGCGTTTCTGCAGGAACAGCTTATAAAAAAAGGAAAACAAAAACACTTAAAAAATCTCACGTCGTCGCTGAGCTCCGCCCCTTTCCGCTGATGTCACGGGCTCTTGTGGGCGCTGCCGTACTGGACCCTGTACTTATTAATGCGCTGGAAGTGAAGGATCTGGGGGTCACAGGTGGTGGAGCAGGGCACCAGTCCCTCCCGCCCTTCTCCCATGAGCCACCTGCTGGTTTCAGCAGCCATGTCTCTGGTTACGTGCTCCTTCACCCAGAGCTGAGTCCAGGCGTGAAAGCGCTGGTGCAGACGTGTGCTCACTCGCTCGTGAGACTGAGAGAGAGAGAGAAAGAGCGCCAGAGCGGTGAGTCGCTGTGCTGAGGGACGAGTAAGGACTTTTCGCAGCCACAATATTTTTAAAAATGCAAAAATTTGCTATAAGGTGAAACTTTAATTTTTCATTAATTTATTTATTTTTTAAATTCTGGAAGTAGCTTGGCAAAAACTCTAAAGTTTCAGATAGATGTCTATTTGTTGATTGAGATCACAAAAAAAATCACATCGGCAACTAAAAATTTATATTGCGCATAAATTGAGACCATATGTAATTACATAATAATAATAAAATATAATACGGTCAATATAAATATTAAACCCTACTAATATACTATCCTATTAATATCCATATTAGCAACAATAATTATAATGCACATAAACTGAGAATGTATTTAGTTATATTAAATACATACAAAATAATTGCAAAATGAGAATTATTTAATTATATAATACCATCAATTTAAATATTAAATCCTACCAATATTCTATCCTTTTTTTCCTTTGCGACAAAGGAAAAAATATTGCAAAAATTGACACACACACACACAAATATGAAATCCTGCTAATATCCTATCTTATTACTAATAATATTAATATTAATATTTAAATCCATATTAGTAACAAACAATCAGAGGAAAAATTATACTGCACATAAACTGAGAATGTATTTCGTTATATTAAATACATATAATATAATTGCAAAATGAGAATGTATTTAAATATATAAAACTATCAATTTAAATATTAAATCTTATCAATATCTCAATCTTTTAATACTACTAATGTAAATATTAATACTATTGGCGACAAACACAGGGCAAATATTGCACAAATTGACAGCGTGTATAATTATATTATTATGTTCCAATATAAAATATGATTAATATAAATACGAACTATTATTAATATACTATCCTTTTTATACCATAATAAATATAACATAAATATAATATAATAAATAAACAAATATTAAAATCCATTTTGGCAACAAACAATCAGAGAGGAAACAGATCAGAGGTTCAATTATTAAATAATATGTATTTGCAGGTTCATACTAATAATTTTTGTATATTTAAATATATAAGTGAGATGTTAGACTTTGGTTATGTTTTTAAAACCCTGTAAAACATGATGTAACATAACTGCAACCAATATAAAATGTGGTAAAAATTTACAACAAAAAAACAAAGAGGAGGGGACAGGTAAGATATAGATGTGCTAGTTCATGTGTGCATGTGATAAAAAAGAGAAGGCTTATCTTATAAATGTTAACTAGATATTGATATGCACAGATGTGATATGATATTGATATGATTTTTCAGTTTTTTAAGTGCGCAAATGAACAAAACTAAAATAAAATTGCTCAAAAAACTGGAGACAGTTCTAAAACATGTATCAAAAACATGACTGTGATTGTAATGAGTCATCTTGGTGTGCGTGTGATCTTACCTGGTGGGCTCTCAGCAGCGCGGTGCGTCTGTACATGTAGTCTTCGGATTTGAAGACGTACACCATCTTATAGGAGTTGAGTTTGAACATGCACTCCATCTTCATGCTGTCTGCGTTCTCTTTTCTGCCGCTGTCCTTCACCTCCTTTTCCTGAGACTCGTGGCTATGCTGACACTTACGGATCTGCCGCAGGTTCCTACACAAACGGAGGAGGAGGATGATGACGACAAACCAATAGTATTTACCGCTGTGAGCTTCTCTGCTGCATGTAAACAGTCTGAATGCTGAGATTCAGTGGTTGGGAGGTTCAGGGGTCAGGGGTCACAAACACAGGGTACCTTGGCAGAAACACAGGTTTTTGAGACAGATGCTCCCTCAGGTCTGGAGATGTGAAATCAGCCGACAGATACCGCACAACGTAATCCGACCAGCACTACATGTGACCATGAGAACAGGGGAAATTAATTACATTTGAAATGTTTTATGAAAACAATTCTTTCAAATAAACACTGAACAGTATTATCTTAGTACCAGTGAGATGCTATCATTTATTTTATTATTATTTTTTCCATTTCCATTTTAATTAAAAGTTTAGTAATTTTCTTGTCATTTTTCTTAACTCCTTTTTTCTTATTATTTTTTTATGTCTATATCGTTTTTTTTAAATGTTAGTTTAGTATAGTACAATTTAAACTAAGCAAAAATGAGAAATATTGTTTTGGCAACTAGTTAATTAAAGTTAAAGTTTTATTATCTAGTTTTATTTCAGTTAACATTTATTTCAAGTAACAAAATCTTTTTTGTTGTTGTTGTTGTTTTAGTTTCAAGTAACTATAATAACCCTGGAACTGAAGAATAATAGCAGATCTGGATTTGACTTTTTTTTTATTTATTTTTTTACATTTTATACATTATTATTATAATAATAATATATATTATATAATATAATCATTAATATTATTATTACTATTATTTATTATTTTATTTTTTTTACATTTTTTAAAATGAAAATTTATTTATTTTTCCTATATTTACTTGTTTATTTATTTTTATTTATTAACTCATTCATTCTACTATTACGTAATTTAAATGTTTTAAATTATTCAATAAAAAATAAAAAAAAGCATATTATTGCTCTTTTGTGGATTTTGATTGCTTCCATTGTCCTCATTTTTAAGTCGCTTTGGATAAAAGCGTCTGATAAATGACTAAATGTAAATGTAAAATTACTACAACATTTCAATTCGGTCCAAAATAACAGAAGTGTGTACATTCGCATCCATGTTTGATCTGTGAATCAATAAGTGAAGCTCACCTCGATCTCCATTGGCCCGTCTGAGTTCTCCTCCTCTGTGTCCAGCAGCTCCATGGTGAGCTGAACATTCCCTCGGTTCTTCATAAACATCAACTAGAGAGAGAGAAAGAGAGATTAGAGACTCTTAATACCGTGAGACTCTCTGTGTGGCCTTCTCTAGCACTCACTAGGTCGGAGCTCTACCTTAAAGCAGTTCTCGTCGGACATGAGCTGCTCGGCTTTGCGCTGGTAAGACACTTCTGCCGGTGCCCTGCTGCTCTGTGTGAGCAGAGATCCACCTGTGGCCGAGTGGCTGCTCTCACTCAGGTACAGTTCTATGACCTGAACACAGATCTCCTCACTCACTATGTGCTGGAGCTACAGTTACAGACAGAGAGAAAAAGAGATTTTCATATCCTACAAGGCAAATCAAGGATTTTAAAATTGTAGAGGTATCCAACTCATCTTTTGAGACACTGTACTATGAAGTTTTTTTTTATTTCTATGTAACTTAGTTCAAAGTCCAAAAAGATAATTTATTAAACTATTTCATAAGGACCAGAATACAGCGCGCTGATTCACTAAAATGGACTTATCGGCTTCTGTTCAAAAACAGGCGCTTGTCTGCTTCTGCAGTAAAACGTGAACTCGCAATGCCTTGAAAGTGGACAATACCGGCTTTTTTGACAAAATGTGTTTAGGGTTCAGATCGCGCTGTATGTGGAGAATAATGCACGGCAAATTTTTTTTTTACAAGTGGCATTTATCGGTTTTTGCAAATGAACTCTTCACACATATATTTATTCAATTAAATATATAAAGGGAATAAACAAATATAAAAGGTAAAAAAAAATCACATTTATAAAATAATGAACATAAATTCCATAAATTGAGAAAAAATACCATAATTGTACGCATTTCGAATAAGCCATTTTCGTAATTTAAATTTATTCTGTTATTCACGCTACTCACTATTTATTATTTTTTCTACATTATTTGTTATTTTTTTAAATATCCAAAAAGATCATTTATTAAAAATGTTTTCATAACAAAAAAGTAACATTTAACAAATTAACAAGTTAAATAAATTTGAATAAAATTAAGAAAAAAAATGATATATATATAGAAACAAACACACACATGTATTTATG